ACCAGTAGGCAACGGGTGAAGTGTCTTGCCCAAGGACACAACGACCGAGACTGTCCGAGCCGGGGCTCAAACCGGCAACCTTCCGATTACAAGACAAACCACCAACTCCTGAGCCACGATCGCACCTTAAAATACAGATATTTGGTTAAAATATCACTAATGCTGGAAAAAGGCTATCACCAAGGGATAGGGAATAGAAGATCCTCCTACCCTGGACCAGTGGACACAGATTGTAGAGGAAATCTACATTATGGAAGAGGTGACACACCAAAGGAAGCTCAGCACGAAGAAAAAAGGACTAAATGGACGCTTTATAAACCAGAACAGCAACAAAAAATTCAGAACAACCAGAAAGGAAAATGTACCAATAAAACTAAAGTGACAAAAAAGGCTCCTGACTCAGAGGATGAATCAAACTTGGCAAAGACTTTTCACTTGCTTGTTTAAGCAATTTTACTGGCAGATGGTCACAGAATAAATCTATGACAAATGCCAACGATAACACAGTAACAGACAAAACAATATTTTTGCACCAACAAGGTGATTCCCAAAGTTTCCCAAAGTATCTCAGTAGGAGTATGTCTGAGGAAATAACTGAACCCTGTGATCGACTAATAAAACAGTAAAACAAAAAGATGAGAAGGCAAAGAATCTTTGAATTGAAATTCTAATTCGAATGTTTTCACTCGGCTTGACTCTGTTATGAGAATGAGACCTTTTTAGCTGTTGTGTGTTTGAGGGCGACTTTGCTTCCACAGAACAATGAGAACAGTCAGGGGTTAAAGTGGGAGCCTGAGATCTGTGCAGTGTCTCACAACTCGCAGTGATGTGTAATGTGAGCTCCAGGACAGGATTTACAAAACTGAATCCAACTAGATAGAAGCAGACGTTTCACAAGCTGTCCTTTACAGCATGCTGTTTGCACCATCTTTATCCACTGGGATAGCCCACTACCATCCTTATACTGTATACAGTTGTTATAAAGGTTGAATTAAGTGGGTTAATCTAAGCATTACCATCTTAAATGCTAAGTAACCTACTGCGTAACATAACTCTGACCATAAGCAGCAGCCTAACGGTGCTTTACTAGGAATTCACCTCAGTACAGCACAAAACTACCCAGTACTTTGATGCAACAAATTGTAGGATGTCTCACAATATGAAAATACATAATTTATGAAAACACCCCGTATACAGATTCAATTTGTGATGAAACATTATGACATTAATGAAATCTTTAAATGTGCAGTTCGTCCCTTCAAATACAACCTCTCGTCTTCCTCTCTTAGCGTTCTGTCTCTGCCTGCAGATACCTGCACGCATTTCTCCTCCTGAGAAATCCAGCAGCTGGACCTTCAGCGAGCATCACACTGTGCAGCAGATCGCACAGTTTGTGTGTTTGTTGTTGTTTGTTGAGCCAACAGAAACATTGCCACTAGTTTTATGATTGCTCCTCTTCTGTAGCACCAGATGCAGAAGTAATACCTTACAGACACCTGCACACTCTGGCTGATGTTGTCTCTACATAGCACAGCTGGACTGTGACAAAACCATCTGGGTTATTTTATCCATTCATTTTAACTGATTGGAAAACCGAGGCTACATTTTTTCCATTTTGTGTTCCCAGTTTTGTGCGTGTGTCTTTAGTGTGTGTTAACCTTTTGCTGTGGCTGTCTCTCCTTCAGGATGAGCCATCCTCTGCATTGCTGTGGCAGCGACGCAGAGCGGCATGCTGAGCTCCTCCCCCAGCACTGAGACAGACAGATCCACTGTAGACACGTCCCTCAGCACTCGAGGAACCAGATACCACCTACACACGTGTGTAATAGTGGAAGAGGTCATTCTACAGTTACACTTCTGCAGCTTCTTTTTACTTACAAAGATTCATTCACACTCTGATGTCCATTGAAAAACGGAGACAGACTGATTCTGAAAAGAAAACACGTTTTTATTTCTACAGCTGGAAGCTTTGGTAGAAGCACATCAATATCCAGATATAGACAAAGTACTGGGCTGTTGCATTTATCTGAATTACATATTACACAGCTGTTGAAAGCCATTAAGCTTCCAGCACAGGAGGCTTGGAGCTCTGCAGGTTTGCAGTAGTGTGTTTGTAAAGGCAGCCTGCATGGCTAACTCCTGGATTTTATGCATCTGTGGAAATGGCACAGAAAACACCTGGATCCAAAGATAAACAGGTGTGGTCCTTATGTCCCTATAGTGTAATTCATCACACATCAAACGTACCTGTTAGCACATAAATAATGTAAAATGATAAAAAGACAAGCATCAGAGTCCAGAGCAGCTGCTGTGTGTAATTTCAGCTTTGGATTCAGGCTCCAACACTGTTTGTAGAAATTCTTACTCTGAATGTTCAGTTACCACATCAACGACCTCCACACGTCTGTGTTTTACCTGTTGAAGGCGGCCACATTGTCAGCCAGTGTCTTTTGCTCATCAGCTCCTGAGCGGTAGTAGTCATACACAGCTTTAGGAAGAGTTTTCCTGGCTTCCTCCTCAAAGTCCGACACACACACACGCTGCATTGTTTTTCACTTCGAACTACCAGAAAGCTGAAAACTGCAGCCTCTCTGTGATTTGCAATAAACAGAACTAGTTTAATCATTAACCTGCCAGAGGTTTCACAAGCTGTGAGCCTTTCACGTCCTGACTCCTGTGCTTTACGTTTCTCTTCAGCCCTTATTGATGGCATCAGACACGACGCCTCCCTGAGCCTGATTGAGCAGAAGGTTTCTTCCTGTTAAAGCCCAGTTTGTCCTTCCTGTGCTTTGATTGTTTTATTGTTGGGCTCGAGTGTTGCTGTGACTCTGTCCTATAGAAATAAATCATAAATGAATTAAACTCAGAGGAGTTTCTGCTTTGCTCTGTTTACACGAGATAAGACTGCAGCTGTGAGGATTCCACACCATCTGGGCCTGTGTGTTGCCAGATTAGAGTGTTGCCATGTCTAATGCTGACTGCCTACGAACTTTGAAACTTCACGTGCCTTCTGTGAACTTTGAACCCAATGATGTTTTCATTAAAACAGCAGAGAGGTGGTACTTTGTGGATACTTTGTGTCAAACCAGTGATTTATAAGGGTTAGCGTGTTTTGGGGGCTAAAAGCCACAGAAACTCAGTGTTTAGAAAGAATGCGTCTCAGCAGTTCTGATACTCCTGACATGTACGGGATCACTACAGGTTTTCTCTTAGGCAACAGTCGTCCTTCTCTCCTGGATCGGCTGGAGCTTTCTTTAGGAGGCTTCCCAGCTTTGGCAAAGGTCCAGGTGGGACAACTACATTCACTCAGGGCCTTCTTGATGTTCTTCTGTCTCCTTTTTGTATTTTCACCACTGAGCAGTGACAACATTTTCTCTTGATAGTCTTTCTGGTTTAGCAAAACTGCACATACCCTTGCCTGTCATTACCGAGTGATGTGAGTGCCTTCCTCTCCTCCGTGCTGATGTTGGATGCTGGGCGCTTTGCATTGCTGAGACAGGCCGTAGTTGCTCTGCTTCCACTTTTGCAATATTGTTGCTGTTTCGAATTGCAGCTTCTGTGGCTGTGATCAGCTCCGATCAGATTTGTCTCTGCGTCACAGCAAAATTCAACCCTTTAGCAAGGATGTTTTTCTCTGCTTGGGTGAGCTGTGTGTCAGACAAATTCTTCACCCACTTGTCCACATCCATGGTGTGGCGTCCTTCTCTCTTCTGGCCGCTGAGGACACTCGCCGTATTTGGCTGTGGTTTACGCTACATGCAGATGAACAGAATCAACTTTTGGGGATTAAATGATGTTTGTACTACTGAAAATCACTTTATCCTTAAAAACCACGTAAACAGACATGAAGAAGAATGTGTTTGTAACACTAACATTCAGTAAAAAGGACTAGATGTTACAGTCCCTGATAATGCATTGTTTAGATGGAGAGACTCTTGAGGGACGGCTGTTATGAGGAAAGGCAGCCCAGAAACTTTCCCAGCAGCTCACATCGTTATGTGCCTCAACCTTCGGTCTTTTACCCAGGCTAATCTGCCATTTTCCCTCCGTGGTTAGGTTTAGGGAGTACAGATCTGATCTAGATTATCATTTTAAATTTGGGACACATCGTCAGTAGTGGACCTTGGATTCATCGGATGTTTCGGCCATTATCACTAGACACCCTCATCCAAGGAGGCCCTGCCAGGGTTGATCAGGCCCTGGAGTGTCACTGGTTTATGTTAAAATGTTATTTCTCTTCTTCTTTCTTCTGTCTAGTTTTCTACAGTTTATTTTCTTCTATCTATCACTGCAACTGAGAAATAATACTTACCTCTTTAGCATTTATGGAGCCTCACTTCTTCAAAGGGATAGAAAAGGTGACAGAGAGGAGTAAGACAAAAGGGACACGATCGGAGAGAGCAGAGAGGAGAGCCGGAAGGGGGGGCGGCGCCCGACCTGGCTTCCCGCACCTCCCGACCAGATTGGGCTGTACGCTCTACCTTCTCACTTTCGCCCAGAAAAGGGAAGAAGAGCAGAGGGGAGTAGAGCGGAACATTTCTTTTCTCTCGCAGTTAGCTGACTGCCTTAGGTGCCCAAGTGATGTCAGCCCTTTTTAACCATAGCCAGTGACTGGTCCTCTGATCCCAATCTCTCTAAGCAGCTTTGCTGTTGTGCTGGCAACAAAGACCCTGCACCCCACTTCCACCGGGCGCACCTTGATCTTCCAGCCTCTGTCCTCTGCCTCAGCTGCCAAGTTGGCATACCGCAGCTTCTTACGCTCAAACACTTCCTCAATTGCTTCCTCCCATGGTACTGTCAGCTCAATGATGTATGCAAGTTTTGGGGAGTTAGACCAAAGGACGAGGTCTGGTCGAGTTGTTGTTATGATCTCTGTGAGAAAAATTAGCCTCTGATCCAAGTTCACCTGCATCTGCCAATCCCTGGCAACCTTCAGCGGGCCCAGGTCTGGGGTTGAGGGGCTCGTCCTCGGCTTGTCTCCTTCCCGGGCAAACGTTGATGAACACTGACGCTCCTCTTGGTTCGTGAAAGGTTGAGCGTTGATGGATTTTCTTTTGCACTCAACTTTCTTGGCTAGACACCTGAGAACCTGGTTGTGTCTCCATGTGTGTCTGCCCTGAGTAAGGCTAGTCCTACAACCAACCAAGATGTGCTTGAGTGTTGCTGGGACTGTACACAGGGGCAGGATGGGTCCTTTCCAAACCACAGCTGCAGATTTATTGGAGAAGGCAACACATCGCATGTCGCTCGGATGATGAAACTTAGTCTATTAGACTCCGAGCCCCAGATTTCACTCCATGAGAGTTTCCTCTTTTCCACACTCTCCCAATTCATCCAGCGACCCTGTTTGGCCAGCGCTATGGCATGTCTGGCTGTTTCCTATTGTCGACACACCTCCTCCACCACCATTCTTCGACATTCGGTTACAGATGCCTGTTGCCACCGAGGTGTTACTGCGCCAAGACCAAATCCACCTCTGCCCTGTTGGACGTGACCCACCACGTCACGATGCCGAAGAGCAGGTTTGGCCTGTAGCACCGATGTGGCCGGGGTCCACTTCCTCCCCATTGCTAGGGTGGGAGCAGTGCCTCCCACTATGGGGTCCCGGGAGTCCGTGAGTGACATCTCAAGCCTCACATTTGCACATTTAAACTCTGCAACCAGGCTGGGGATAGGCAATGACAGTATCCCGTCGCTGTAGAGTCCAATGCTGCTGAGGCACTTGGGAAGTCCGAGCCACTTCTTAGCGTAGGAGCTCACTGGCCTCTCTAGTCAATTGGCGTGATTGAGTGAGACCTCGTACATTGTCAATGGCCACAGTAGTCTGGGTAATAACCCAAACTGGAAGCACCAGAGCTCCAGTTTCCCTGGGAGTGTTAATCCACTTGAGGTCATCAGCCAAGTTCTGCCTTAATTGTTCTAGTTGCCACGTATCATTGAGGTCTGCATTATACCGAGTAGTGCGGTGCTCTGAACGGATAATTGGAGGTGAGCTTCCCTCCCTCCAAGACATCTACAGGAAGCGCTGCCTGAGGAAAGCGGGGAGGATCATC